GAGTAGACTTCAAGCTGCAACATCTTTAATACTGCTCCCCAGTCTTGAGCAGCTCCTGACACAAAGTTCATTAAATAGGTGATGCGTGAAAGCTCAGTGAATACTTGAGAGGCTGCTGTTGAATGACTTGGTAGAGCTCTGCTAACAACCCAAGTTTCCTGTATACGTATGGGTCTAGAGCTGGAACAAAGGCCCCGTGTAAGCTGACAACAGCTATTTATAGCAAAGACAGAGATGGAACTGGCTGAGCAAGAGTGGCAGTGCATCTGTAATCAAGAACACAGGGGAGGGCAGGAGTGGGTGACAGGAGAGGGGGGTGTTAGACTTCTTATGGGGAGAGACAGAAGCCAAGAAAAACGTACTGGTATTAAATTGTTTTTCTGAAGCGCAGTGACCTTAACCTTTGATGCAATTCGAACCAAATTAAAGAGGCAGAGAACTTGTCACAAGCTTGTCACTTCTGACATACAACATCAATTGAAGTTGAAGTTGGGAACAGGTATAAATTAGAAGGTTATACGTAACCTGAGAGCTTTTACTCTGAAGCTAAGCAACAAAAAATGATGTATAATGGCCACAAACACGTGAACTACCTAAAACAGCTACAAGAACTGAAAACTGGCCATTGTCCACTGTATTACAAATCAAACAAATGGGTGCATCTCAGTTGTAGATTTGTTGCTTTGAATATTGTGCTTTTGATTTCAAGCCCTGCTGTGTGTTAAAATGTCTTTAGGCAACAAGTCCTGTCGATTTTTTAAATCAGGAGCTTTTTTTTCGCTTTTTTTTGCTAGATCCCGTGGCCACGATCCCGTGACAGACTAATTCAAAACCTCTCTCTCAGCAGCTCTGTTTAATGAACCAGGTGATCCAATCAGATCCTCTAAAATATCAACATAATCGATGCTTGGCCAGAATGTTGGGTCGTCCTTCCATCCACCTCTCAGCTTGTACAGATTGGATAGTGTCTTGAACAAAATAATGAAGTAGCTTCACAACATCAGCTTGGGTTATACTTCAATACAACATGAAACAACGGGTTGGTGATTGTGTCATTTCGGAACACTATAAACTGGCTGAAGATGAGGTGGGCATATATTATCAAAATTCCTTTCTCTTCCCTCCCACAGCTCATATAAATTTATAAACAACAATAATGATGGCTGAATACTGTATTTTTTCACTCAACAATCAGTGTTGAATTGGGTGAAGAGTCCACATGGGGAAACCTTTTTCTTTATTAACGGTGGTGATGGAAAAAAGATGTGATGAGCTGCATGCTCACGTTCTATAGGATCAAACCAGCTGCTCTTCTAGCTCTTTTCCTAAGTGCAGGACCGCTGCAGTGTTCCTCATGAACAAACACACCCACAAAGTTCTAACCAATCACATGCTCCGAGTCGCAAGATCTGCATCGCAGAGTTCTGACTGGAGACAATAGCTGTGTTTCCATTGACCATGAAAATGCGCAAATAAGAATTTCGAAAATACAGTGGGTAAAATAAGTATTGAAAACGTCACCATTTTTCTCAGTAAATATATTACTAGAGGTGCTAATGACTTGAAATTTTCACCAGATGTCAGTAACAACCCAAGTGATCCATACATACAAAGAAATCAAACCATAAATGTCCAGAAATGAAGTTATTTGTAATAATGTGGAATGGCAC